GTTCAATAAATATCTGCAAAAATGTCGCCGGGTTGTAACATGGCTTTCCTCCTCACTTTCGTATGAATCGTACCGAAAAGGTTCTTCTTCATGCGAACGAATATTTCACATCTTAATGTTCGCCGTGCGGTTCTAGTGTAAACTTCGTACGATTCCAAACAAATCTTCTCCTTGAAGTAAATGTACAGGATACAGTTCCACCGCCCGTTTTCGTAAATTTCCACCATGCACTTAAACCATAAATTTCGTACGATTTGTTAGGAAAGTGTTCAAGTGTACGTAAACCGTGTAGTTCCACTGGATTTGTTTAGCTCAGAGACAGCTTTGCTGCTGTCTGTGGTAAAAGACTAGGAGGTCCTAGGATTCAAGTCCCGACAGTGGCTGGATTTTCAGCACTGACTAAATAGCCTGTTCAAATTGACCCGCTGTCAGGAGAATTCTAGCGCCAGCTGCTGACGTTAATTTTTCAGGGATTCTATGATCAATACCAGGCAAATGACGGAGCAGTACCCAAACAATCGGGCAACGGAATCCGAGATATCTTTCGTTCGTATTCCGTGACGCCCTTCTCTTCCGTTTCACACAGTCGGACACACTCTTACATGTACTACACTAGCGCTTATATCGGGAGAGCGGTCGGGATCTTATAGCTTGTCACTGCTGGGGGAGAGTCCCTCTGAGGAGAGATCTTGAGGGGGAAATCCATCGCAAGTCGAGTTAAAGATTGGCGCTGTATCTCAAGTGCTAGGGTGGAAACAATACAGCTCCCTACTTACAGGACTAATGGGTCTAGGGCTTTCAAAGGGCGACTTTTCCTCATTTGGTGAAAAATGAGATATTGATTTCAATGAGGACTCATTGCAGTTATGCGTCGTTCTTTAAAATGATCTGTAACGAAACACGTTTTTTGTTCACTCCAGAGAGCTTCATTATAATGAGTTAATATCACAACGCGATCTTTCCATGATGTTCATTTCGTTGCAAAGTACGATCTTTCCAATCCAGCGATCAGAGGTCCTTGTGTCACTTCGTTTTGGCGCCGTATTATATCAAAATAAAAATGTATGGTTCTATAGAAATCTAACTAGCCTAAGCATTCACCAAGCTGAAACTGAATATTATGAGTATAATGAAAGTCAGCAGTTAGGGGTTGCTGATCTTCATATTTAATGAGAAATGCCACACGAAATAAATGAATCAAAAGGCAACAAATTAATATTAATGTAAAAATATTCAATGAAAATAAGTTTGTTTTCACGAAAAAATACGTTTTCACCAAAAATACAAAAAGTATCAATAAAATTTCGAAATGGGATTTTTTAGCTCAACTTTTTTCTCAATCACTAAATATTCTTGAGTTATCGAATAATATTGTTTTTTCTTTCAATAGCCAAGGATATTAATCCGAAAAATTTAGCAGCAGAATGTTTTAAACAAATGATATTACATTTTCTCAAAACAAACTAGTATGGAAAAGTCTCATTTTGAAACTAGACCAATCAATCAATACTTTCTAACTCAATCAATACATTTTGCAACAAAGTGGTCACCCCGAGGGGGTTAAACACTTTGTTACAAAATGTTGCCATGGGGAGAGGACCCAATTAGCGTATGTATTTCTTGAATCCGCAAAGGAGTAGGTGGGTGCACAGGATGGAAGAAATCAGCCAGCAGAATGGAGTGCCTTGATTGATTGATTGTTTTCTTTGGCTTCAACAGCTATCGTCTGATCTTGTACTGATCTGGACTGGTCTCAACTAGTAAGATTGCGCGCAGTCTGTGGTCTAATGCATTGAGTGACTTTCCGGCATTCGTGTGGAAGTGGTCTGGGGACTGGTAATCAGAACAGTTGGCCAATATTACGAAGCGACAGGCGCTACAAACTCGCTGACGTTAAACCGGGAGAGGTGGCTCGGTGCATTAACTCACGTCACTACAGTCATTCTGACCGGGAGATCCTCACGTCACCGGCACGCTCTACCTGAAGGTGTTGGGTCTACGCTCCAAGTGTTAGCCACCGTGTTGAATATATCTGATTGATGTTTTAATGCGATTCGACTGTTACGGCCAATGGCACTCGGGCATAGGAAGGGAAAGGGAAGGAAAGATCGTGCATGGTCCGTGGCCTGTTGCAGTAAGTGCTGTTCTGGCGTACGACTAGAAGTGATCAAAGTAATCACTGATAAGAGCAGTTGGTTCACGAATGTGATAGGGATGCGACATCGATTTTGTAGAAACATCGATGTTTTAAAGATGGATGTTTCAACGCTGATGTTCTGTTAACATAGATGTTCTTTCTTTTCCGATGTTTTGTTTCTGAATGGAAAATTCCGATGATCACAAAACTGTAAAAGTTAAAATATGAAATAATAAATGAAAATAACTGTTAGTTCATGTCCAAAGGAATTGTGTTTGTACTACCCTCCTCGACAAAGTTCTCGCCCGAGATCATCTCCATGCCCTTGTATTTCCTCTTTCTTCATATTCATTTCGCACATTGAGATGTGGGCAACAGATACACTGAGTGGGTAGGGTCTGCCCCTTCTTCTGGTACTCTTATTCTGGGAACGTGAATTAAATTTAAATGCACACGACATTTTAATGTCAGAGGCTACTAAAGTAGTCTTAAAACATCGGTATTGAAATCCATGTTTTTAGTCGATGTATTTTGAACATCGATGTTTGTTAACATCGATATTTTGTTATCGATGTCGCATCTCTAATCTCAATTGGCGCCACAGGTATTAAACTATTGCTCTCTATATTCTACGAGTACTTCAAATTAATTAAATTATTAGTAATCTCGATCAGACATCGAACCATAGTCTCCTGATTAACGTTCAGTTTCTCTAAACACCGAGCCACCTGGATGGGAGATGCTTTGAACAGTTTCATACGGGTTAATTATTTGGTATTTAGTGGATATTTCTCTTCCTATTGGATACAAAATATGTAGAAAACACGTTCCGTAAGTCCTAATAGGGAGAATCGGGTTTATTTTCCGGTCAGGGTGAATAACGCTTTGAACAATTTAAATTATTGCAATACGTCAGTTTCACAGCCTATCGCCTACCCAAGAAAGTTACAGGTGGAGGCATTTGAAAAGAAGATTAGGATGTTATCATAATGAAACGAAGTACAGATGAACGAAAAAAAGAGAATAACGAAAAATATTGCAATGTTCAGAGTAGCATTGACCTCCTTTATCTATGTATGAAATTTATTTGTTGCACAAACGTTTGTTTTTTTCATTTAACATTTTTTTGAACTTCCCATTTGTTCTATTTTAATTTTTGTAACTTCAATTTTTTTTCTTGATTTTGTTAATTTCAATTTTTTTTCTTCTTGATTCGCTGCCTTCATCAAATCTTCATTTCTAAACAAAACGCTATTTTCTGTCAGCATCTGTAAGAAATTGCGGTTTAAACTCTATTTGTTGTTACATTCTTGAGTAGTATCCACTTATTAATCCATACTAAGTGTAAAACTGTGGCGATGATTAAAACAAAGCTTGCCATGACGTGCTTACCCTGGGAAATTCCTCTACGCAACGGCTCTTTTACCCTCAGCACCCTGAAAAGTGTCTGCCACGATATTGCGATATAACTCCCTGTAGAGAGACGTACACATACAGAAAGAGAGAGGGAGGGGGAGAGAGAGACGTTGTTGATCGCAGAAACCACGGAAAACTACCGATCAGAGCAGCCGGCCGCTAGAAGTCTTCTCCAGACAATGCCTCAATTCGATCTAGCTATCGAAATATAATCGAAAATCCGGCCCCTGTTCTGAATCGAACCCTTAGTCCTCTCGGTCAGAGACCCTGCAGTGTCATCGTTGCTGACCTGAGCCCCCTAATCCGGTACGTGTTTCAAATCCACAGCCTTAATGTCCACCGTCTTTGACTTATCTGCCTGTGCTCTACATCATGAGGTCGCAGTTGACCATATGAGTTGTAAACGTGTACACTTGATCATACTAACGTGTTTTTCTCAAATCAATTAACAATACAGAAAATGTGGTAGAATATAATATTTACATCATATGTCTGTTAACATAATAGTTTAGGTTTATGTAACATTTACAATGAGGAAACGTCTTTAAACTTTACATTATCTCACACCTAACCAGTTTTCGTATCCATGTAACTAAAATGGAAATTCGTATTAAATAATATAGATGAGCAATACCTAGTACTAAATGAACATTTTCATTGTAAAATATTCTGCCGTTTTTTGAGAAAATGGCGTTTGAGTATTTCTGAAATAGCGCAAGCTCATTTTCACCGAAAATTTGTTATTTTCGAGAAACTTTGTTAGAGATGGTTTGAAGCACTTGTAGTCGGAAATACAGCATTCCTCAAAGAATGCCAGAAATGTAAATATTAATGAGATACATATATAAAAGAATACGTTTGTTTAATGTTTAGAAAATCGAACCCATCGAAATAACCTTCATGGTATTTTATTCACTGCAATTAGCACTATACTGAGATAATCCCTTTCCTCATTAATTTTACTAATTTATTTAATTTCTATATCTTTCTAATTACTTCTTTATTTAGGATGTATGTCGGCTAACTCAGGTATTTATTATAAGGCGCAATTGTACTTCCTTCTCTGAATACCTTGTCTTCTTCTTCGTGAACCTGAAAATAACCTCGTACGCGTTCACGGCTAGTAATAATTTCTATCTGGGAAAATTGGATTTGGTGTTTTTTCTTAACATGCACTTTCTGAATAATAAGAACCATATTATCTTTATACTGAAACAGCATCGTATGAAGTACGGCTACACCCATTACTTTAATAAATCTCTACATTTTAGATTTGTGACAATTAACATTTAATGTTACTGAAGTTATTATTTTGATGGAAATACATTATTTATTTGTCTGTACCGATATTTCTAACTAAGATAGCCATCATTGCATTACTTCTAATCACTTTTAACTTAAATAAAATTATTTCTAATTAAACGTACTTGGCCTTGAATATTTATACTTTTAATTTCTGAACAATTCTTATTTGTAACAATTCTTCCCTTTGGTCGAAAAGCAGCACACTTGGTGAAGCGTCGAAAAACTCTGTTCTGGGCGCCATCATGTAACTATCGTCTAAATTCCATTCTCGTCGTCCACACAGTTTCAGTTTCATGGCTTTGTAGTCCGAAAATTATTTGTGGTTACTTTTGCCCGACATCTAAACCGCCGCGAATTTGTACAATCGCGCTTTTTCTCAAGTAAGTTTAATTTATAAAATCTTTCGTTATACTCGTGACTTATTTCTGCAAGATACCGAGACACAAATCGTTCTACCTTTAACAAAAATTACTTCTGTTTACAGCCTACATCTGCTGCCTAGTAAGTCATGACTCGTTTTACTGTAAACTTTTACCAAACTTTCATTTCGTTCACCCTCTTACATTCGCCGCTTATCAAAACTCATCACGTTCTAACATTTTTTTTACTTTCCGAAGCTCATCTTCCAATCGCGTGTGTCTTTTCATTGTTTCATATGTACTCCGATGCTATTCTATCCTACGGCTAATTAATCATCTGAGTTCTTTTGTCTATCTCAATAATGCTTTTTCATTAAATATTTATTTATTAAAAATATTTTTAAATTATTGAAACTATTCATGACTTATACATTCCCAATATCACGTTCCTGTACATATTTAATCGGAAATCATTGATTTTCTATCCGAAATTCGACCACATATTTTAATTCATCCTTTGACTTAAATTCATCTTTAGATATTTGGGTTCATCTCAATATGTAAGTACAAAAAAATTGAAAAAATGGAAGCCGCTTTTCAGAAAATCTTGTTTTTAAAATATTGTAGTAGTAGAATATTTTCAAAAGCATGTTCGTGACATAATTAAAGAACTAATTCTGATATTTGAGTAGGTTCTTTATCTTATAAAAATAATGTACTTACACTGTACGAGATTCATATCTTCAAAGTTTCGAAAATGAAGAGTCAACACTGAAAATCGGACTTACGCCATTTTTATAATTGTATTTTACTCTTTTCTTTTAATTTTAATTTAAGAAATTTAAGGGAAAAATTGAAGCAATTTTTTAGAACATTTGGAAATTGTCCCCGGGTTTCATGTAAATTACTACCAAAATTTAAAGAAATATTTTCATGATTGTTGGGTTTTGAGGCTAGCCAGATACATCGAGAGTTATTCTTTTTGGAAAAATATTCTACGAATAGTTAAGACGCTAGAGTTGTTTGCAAACGTTCGCACACAGAGAAGACATACGGACATTTTGAAAACTAGTACAACTAGTAAAAAACTAGTAGTTGCTACAATAGCATGTACATGCTCGTTTGACACTTATATATATATTTATATATTTATATATATTTATATATTTATATATTTATATATATATATATATTTATATATTTATATATATATTTATATATATATATATATAAATAAATAAATAAATAAATATAAATTACTCTAAGAAGCGACATGTCTGACAAGTTGGGAAAAGTTTGAATGTCGTGATGGACGATGGCATTGCATTGGGTTGTGACGACGCTATTTACAAGTGAGCCAACTGCAAATGAACCGGTAGAAAATTGAGCGTATGAAAATGACCTGCTGTTATGTTGCCAGCAGTGGCCAAGCAATAGCTGTCAAAGATGCCCCTTTCTACAAGACTAATTCTTACACTGATTTCTCTATTCCCTCAATCGTGTACGACGGCATATACCGTTCTTGCTTTTGAAGGGTTACTTCATGTATTTCCCGAAGTGATCGCTAGATGGCAGTTCAATGTAGTATCTCAGCTTCTTGTATTCCGATTTTCACATTTTCCACATCCATTGTTGATTTTTTATGAACGACATTATTGTTGCTGGCGTAGTATTTTCTGTGGTAGTAATACGATGACGGGGATGACAAAATGAATTTTCGAGATGTAAATCCAGCTACTAAAATCAGAAGTTTGTCTAAGAAAGTATTAGTATTTAAAAATAACATAAAATAAACATAATATTGTTGCAAGTTTTGCCTTGGAAACCATTTCACATTGTTATTTGCTTTGAAGTACACCGCTCTCGGTGATTGGGTTTATTTTTTTTAGATAAATGTGTATATTATTTGTGATGAAATTTATAAACCAAACGAAAGTACATACTTTTATCCAGATATCCTATTTTGTTCAGAAATTGTATTTTAATAGTTTAGAAGATACATTGTTTTAACCTATATGAAGCCTAAATAACTGAAGACTGATAACTTGCGCAAATTTAAAAGTCACGCTGCACTAGCTGCGGCGGGCACCGAAAGTCTCTATTACTACATGAACCTGCAAAAGTTTTTCCAGTTTTTTTTTTTCCATATTTCGTCAAATGTGACTACTTACACAACGTTTTAGAGGAAGTACATACAAGAACGAGATTTATCCCTTTTCCGTTGCGAGGGCTCGGACAATAGAAGTTGTTTTCGGTCGAAAAATCGCCGATTTCCGCCTTTCCGCAGTTTCCTGCTACAGCAGCATCCTTTCTCTTTAATATGTAAGTGATATACAGCGAGAAAGTAAAAACAATTTTCCGGTATCAGCGGACGTCAAAAGTGTATTTCGAAAACTATTTTCCGCGATCGGTAGCTTTATGTATATTTGTACTTAGTATGTGTATGTACATATATTATATTATATTATATTATATTATATTATATTATATTATATTATATTATATTATATTACATCATATTAATTACATCGTTATATACATATATTAACATATATTACATTATATTAATTCATATCATTAATTCATAATCTATTTCATTATATCCATTATATTTCATTATAATCTCATTATAATTAAATTATATTATATTATACTATTATATAGTAGCAGTAGTACACCAGTATTACGTACAATGAGGGTAGTGTCAGGATGCGACCCTGGATGGCCCACGTGGCACGATGGCGTGGTCTCGACTTGAGAATGCTTCGGTCAGAAGGGCTCGTGGATTCGAGTCCGCCTTGGCATGGTTGTTGTCCTTTGTCTTCGATGTCGTGTGGTCGCGTAGGGCCCCTGAATTATTGAGCCGACAGATCCGAGGAGCCTCAAAGTGTGTTAATGTCTAAGTGTCAACGGTCAAATATTAACGTGACACCGGGACGTAAAGTTGAGCTAACTGGCTGTCGGCAGGATATATGTCTGAAGAAGTAATTAGTATACGTATAGTATGTAACGATATTATCTGCAGTGTAGCTCTAATGTATTATATACATATATTGTGATATAATATTACATAACTAAATCATGGTCATGCAATATTTACCACAATCGGCACTATTGTCGGATAGAGCTCGCGACTTAAGACGTGATATTTTGAAAAGGAAGAGAACTCTGTTGGCGAAATTCAGCAGGTTTGTGGTTAGTTTGTTCTCGAATTTCAACACCATTAGGCGTCTGAAATATACAGTAAGGGGATTTTCTAATAACTCAGATTCAATCAATATATAATGCTTGAGAAATCCACTTGTATATGAGGTTCATAGCGTATCCGAGAAAAGGTAAATATATGTAACTTGCTCATCTTCTAGAAGCTGGGAACAGAAAAAGAGTAAATGCGAAAACAAAGCTTCTAAAATTAGTTTGAAAAACAGTATATTTGTTTTCAATCATTAAACTATTAAACTATGTAATATGTAGGATTAACTTTAATATACTACTACGAACATATATTCTTCCCGTTATCTCCCTCTTTCTCCTCCTTCTCCCTTTCTCCTGCATCCTCGCCTCGCCTCTCAGTTGGCTCAGCTCGCTCTCTACGTGGTACTCTTGCCGCTCTCTGTCTCTGTCGTACTCTTTGACTCTTCTCTGTCCCGTCTCCGTCCTGTTCTGCTCTCGCCTCTTCTGTCCCCTGTCTCTCTTGTCGCTCTCTCTGTCCGTCTCTTCTCAGCATCTCCTGCGTTCTCTCGTCTGTGTTCTCTCTCTTCTTCATTCTCTCTCTGTCTTCTCTCTGTCCCTCTTCTCTCTCTCGTCCTCGTCATCTCGTCTCATCCTGCCTGTCTCTCGTCGTCTCTCCACTCTCTGTTCTCTTCTTCTTGTCTCTCTCTCGTTCTCTCTGTCTCTTCTCCATGCTGAGTCTCTCTCTGTCTCTCTCTGTCTCTCTCTCTGTCTCTCTCTGTCTCTCTCTGTCTCTCTCTCTGTCTGTCCCTCTCCGTCTCTGTCTCTTTGTTCCTATCCCTCCCTTTCTCCGTGTCTGTCTGCGCGTCGCACGGCAACTCTCAGCAACAATGAAGCCCAGGTGGGGCGCAGTTTGAATGGAAAGTGAATTAAAATGAAGCGCAATTTTGTTCTGCAGCGTAATATAGTGGAGTTACAACAAAAGTAACAACACATAAACCTTCTGGGTGAAAAAACATGTAGATCTGCCAACTTTCAACCCCCCCCTCTCTCTCTGTATGCAAACACACACACAAACACACGGTGGGGAGGGGGATAGGGTTAAACTGCAATCGTGATATCTCTGTTCGGGGGTCACACCTACATAAGATAACGACCTTCATTTCGTATCACACGATGCTGTTGGTATCGCCAATAGATAGCGACACCATGAACTCTCCAAATTCCAATAGGCATTCCAGTATCTGCAAATTTGCAAGTATATGAACAATTTCAGCTGCTTGAAAAATATTTGTTGTTGGAAAGGAAAGAATCGAGTCTTGATGTCCTGGATTAGATCAAGAATTGAATATGATAAAGAATAATGAATATCAAGACTTGAATAATATACATTTATTAATTTCCTCTTGCAGTAAAATTACGTTCGGGTGACTATAAATAATTAAAATATAACTTGGAGATTAATCGTGAGTTACAGAAAATATGTTACTAATTTGTTGGCAATGCAAAACAATCAAATCTGAAATTCGTTTACCAAAGCAAATATGTTTTCTTTAACTCGGGAGAGAATATGTCTATTTTTTCAAATGTTTGTAATCTTGTGCTCTTAAAAATTTATTATTATTATTATTATTATTATTATTATTATTATTATTATTATTTATTAATAATAATAATATATTATTAATATTACTATTATTAATTTTATTTTATTTTATTTTATTATTTAAACATATATTCATCTTTCAACTATATATAGATATAT